GCCTCAGAACATCCCGGCGTCACCGACTGGGATTGAACCCAGGCCTGCTGGGGTGAGAGGTAATCACACTTACCACTACACCACCGGCGCCACTTGTTTTGTTTGTTCAAATCCATTTTCGACTGTCAAATCCATTCGAGACTGAGATCGGAGGAATCAATGGCGACGCCTTAACCTCAATCTACCTGTGCACCAACTCTCAAAACATAAACAATTATCAAAATATTGCTTGCAATGGATAGATATCGAGTTAACTAGAAGATTAAGTGTATTTTAAACCGATTCGAGTATGAATATGGCATTAAATCTGTTTTTGAAAGTTGGTGCACATGTAAAAAGTGAGGTTATGCGACGCCACTGGGAGGAATAATTAATCAAGACAAATTGAAATTTTCGCCGCCGAGCGATGGAATGGCCGTAGTAGCAGTTCTGGTATGGTTGGCCTTGACGTCGATGCAAATACCTCGAGGAAACCAAGACAAGTTTTTCAGTGACCAAGAAGCAATTGAAGCTATGATTGGAAGTTACCCAGTGCTCAATCGAGTACCGAAAAGGATGAAGGAGTTTTTTGCAGGATCTGAACGATTAAAAGATACAAAATCCAGCACTCCAAACGGATTCCCATCTTCAGCTTCTATAACCGCGCTGCTGATTACGGGAATGTTGTCAGTACGGTTTGTCGCGATTAAACTCAATCATTTCAGTGTAGATTCGTTTTTTGGTGATGATGGTAGATACAAGGCAGTAGCACCCTGGGCACTTTCATTGGCACCAATGGTTAGAAATTTTCATGATATTTAAAGTTATTGGCAACACTGTACTATATATGTGCATGTGTCAATATGTTAATCATTGTTGCTGACACAATCCAATTTTTGGTTTCATAACTTCAACCATGAATTTCCGGCGAAACTATGCCACAGCGCACATATTTTCTAAACATTAGCTAAAAACCGGTCAAAAGTCAACGCGGTATGCTTGCGCGATGACCGTTGTCAAGTACAACTGTAATCTGGGGGTGATACTGGAATTCTTCCGGATGGTGCTGGAGTCGCTACCGGAAGACTTCGAGATTGGAGAACCTCCACTCAAAACGATCGAACTGTTCAAGGATCTGGTGCGGAAGGCTTTGGTGTTTCAGTTGATCGAAGTTGGAAAGGGGATGGCATCGTTCCGGAAGCTGATTGTAACAGTGGTGTCCCGTACTTTTTACCTGTGCACCAATTTTCAAAACCTGATTTAATTCCATATTCATACTCGAATCGGTTGAAAAATACACTTAATCTTCTAGTTTACTCGAGATCTATCCATTGCAAGCAATATTTTGATAATTGTTTATATTTTGAGAGTTGGTGCACAGGTAGATTGAGGTTACGGAAACGCCACTGGACTGTAAAGATGACCATGAAGGGAATGTGATTAGTGAGTTGGTTAGTGGGGAGAACGAGACCCTGAAGGAGCAAGGGAACGTTGAAGACGTTGGTAGATCGATTTAGGGCGGGGATATTCGTGACGGAGCTGAAATCACAGCCGAAAGAGGTTAAGTGGAATTATAAGATGTTGATTGGTCGGTTGTTGGGCTTGAAAGTGAGCGGGTGAGCTCCTGAAAGTCGACATCTGTGAGTTGACTGAAGGATAGGTTTAGCTCACGGACATGACTCTGGTAACCCAGCGCTTGAAATAGAATATTTATAGGCTTGGCGGAGAAGAAGTCCCGGCGAAGTGTAAAGTGACCGGTGTTTTCCATGGTGCCCAGCGATTGGAGCAGTTCGGTAAGCATTTCAACATTGCGATGTTTGCAATAACCCTCGTACAACTGATCCGAACGTAGCTTTTAGAACTCTATGAAGTACGAATTGATTATGGAATTCGAGCCGCACAGAAGATTGTAAGGGGATCGGTGTACATACAAAGGCTACCATCTGGTAATTTATCATGTTTGATTCCGTAACGCTTCACCACTTCGTTGATCAGCCAACCGACATTCAGTTACATGATTCGTTCCTCATCGTAACTGACATCGATGATCACTCGGACCATGTTCGGTGGTAGAATCTTCACCGGTGTTTGCTTTCTTACCATCGACAGCGCCCCAGCATTTACAGGTGTTCTCTGGCCGGCACTGCTTTTCGCCAGAGACATCATACTTCTCTCCATTTGTACGATCGTTGGACTGTATGACCGTGTGGCATATAAAAGTATTCCGTTTGCAACTTCCACTAGAACGCTGGCGTCACCTGTGGATTATCCGAGTCCTCATCATACTTCAATCCAGTAGAAGTTATTGTCCTGTCGGAAATTGGAAGTGCCTCCCCCGGAGAACGTTCTCGCTCGAAGCTTCGATTCGGTGGCCAAGGCTGTTGCTTATTAGGTTCAGTGTAGTCCTTTCTGAGATAATTTGGGAGCAACGAACCGAGAGTCACGACTTCTTCTTCTTCTTAATTCCTTTATTTAACGTCCGTCTATGTTCCGCAATCTAGTGTCAATCACCGGCGGACATCGATTGCCATCAATTGACGGCAATCGAATGTGCAGGAAGGCAGCCCTGCGTAGAATATCACACCCATTCCACACACATGGGCTGGGACCAACGGCTTTACTTCCGTGCCGAAGGAAAACTTGACCAGAGATTTTTATGCCTCAGAAAAGTCCCACCGACCTCGGCTGGGATTGAACCCAGACCGATTGGGGTGAGAAAGCAGTCTTGCTTACCACTACACAACCGGCGCCGGCGAGAGTTACGACAGTTAGGATTTAGGATAGGATTCAACTGCTTGTTGTTTTGTTTCTTCAAAATGCGGTGGTGAAGCACTGGCTAGAGCCGAAGACAACAAATCAAGAAGACTGGCAACTTTGCCAGAATCCAAGCGACAGATACAGTAGCGCTGCACTTGAGTGAAGGTGGAAGCAACGCATAGAAAAATGAGCAAATACACAAACCCTTCTTCTGAGGATGTAATCTTTACTATACAATTTGTTCGAAGCATTTACCTTTGAGCGGCAGATGACGCAATTGTACCAGTCTCATAGCGTTTGTATGAGAAAATGGAAGAGTTGCCAGTCTTCTTGATTTGTTGTCTTCGCTAGAGCGCTGCATTGGGTAATTACCAAGATTTGGAAGGAGGAGATAATATGAAATGAGATGATGAAAGGTGTCGTATGCCCAATCTACAAAAAGGGCGACAAGTTGGATTGCTGCAACTACCGCGCGATTACACTGCTGAGCGCCGCCAACAAGGTAATCTCCCGAATTCTATGCGGCCACCTGTCACCATTCGATGATCAAGAGCTTCATTTATTATTATTATTTTTTCTGAGCCTGCTTTAGTATGTCTGAGGTTTTGCTTGTCCTCTGTGAAGTTCTCCTGAGATTAGTGGATTTCTTAGATTTTTTTTTTAAGTTTACTAAATTCTGAAGTTGTCAGATAATCAGATAACTTCTGAGGAAATCAGCAATGTGGCCACCAAATTTTCTTTTTGGAATTCCCGACTCCAGTTTTAAACCTAAAAAATATCCACAACTGTTGTTCGAAAATATTGATTTTACACGTGTAGAGGTATACTGCTTCTAGAAGGTTTCAAATGCTCATGGAAAAAATGTTGTAGTTTAGGAAGACAAATTCATGTCTAGGTCTCTTGGTATACTCTGCAAAATTACTTTTCAGTAGTCTTCTTTTAACGATACTGAAATTCTTCTGAAAAATGCTTTGAAAACACTCTCTTTTGGAATACGACCAGAAATTTTTTCAAGTTTTCTTAAGCATTTAGTTGAAACTCTGCTCTGAATTCCTCAGAATTCGATTCCCATGGAATTCTTCTTCGTATTTTCTAGAAAATCTTGAGTGAATTCTCAAAAAAATCACGTCCAATTTTTCATAAAATATCCCTCTGAATCACAATCAAGATTTCAAAGCGCCGTTGAAATTTTGCCTAGAACTTTCTAAAAATTCTGATTTGTTTTCTGTTTTGAGTACCAATGCTACCGACGCCAGGGTGGCAGCTCCTACACCTAGAACCTACCTATCGACCCATCAATGGACGGGGACCAACGGCTTTTTTCCCTTCCGAAGGGAGCCGTGATCAGAGATTTTACCCCTCAGAAAATCCCGACAGTGCCGACTGGGATTGAACCCTGGCCATGTGGAATGAGAGACAATCACGCTTGCAATCATGCTAACACCAGTACACCACCGGCGCCGCTAAATTATATATGTTTGATTCTCGAGAAATTTAAGCTCAATTTCATCTTGTTTAATTTTTCAATCGAAATTCTATTGTATGGCCATGAAAGCAGTTTTGAGAAAAGGGGGAATACTATTTAACTTTCATGATTCCAATTGGCTCCACAATTAGGGCGTTTGATTGAAAACTACATTCATAGAAATAAAAAAAATCAGAATTCCCGATTCATCAGTGACCAGCTGAGAGGTTTCGAAAAAGACAGCAGCTGCTAGCTATGGAAAAGCAGCAGTTCTGACGTTCTTAGTTATCATAACTCCAGGAATATACACCAGCTAATACAAAAGCCTGGCGAACTTCAAAGACATCTTAAGTACCCATATCTGCCTTAATCCCACCAATGCACTTGGTACACCCGATGCTCTGTGCAACGATTTAACGCCACCTCCCCTCATGCGTCTCGGTTTTAAAATTTCCCAAGCAAGCAAAAATCGATACAATAACATATGCTCCACACGCACGCATACGGCCATACGTTCACTCGTGATGGCAGTAAAAATATCAACCCAAAAAGATCGAACGAAAAGAAAAATGTATTAGGTATTACCCCACGAAGCACTTCCATGCAGCCGCAGCCACGCATCAATCCGGTGCCGAAAATCAATAACACACCGCCAATTATTCAACAATATGCGCTCCAATTATTTCTGTTTGCCCTTATCAATCAGAAAAAAATGATTCCCAATTTCCTCCACTTCGTTCTGAGCGATTAACAATGTTATGGTATTCTTCCTGCCGTCTTTCTGGGACACTCCACTTACCTAACGCGGCATCGCAGGCTCGCTTCAGCTGGGAATGGTGCGACCGTTTGATATCCTTGTCGCTCAGGATCTTCTCCAGAGCCCGGACAATGAACATTTCCTTCGTTTTGGTGCTGGCACTAGCCGTTCCAATGCTGCTGCCACTACTGTTACTGTTATTGCTGTTGGCTATCGTTGGCATAATTTTACCCAAGCTTTCCGTAGCCACTCAGTCTCGCCGACCGGATGTGACGGAATCACAACGACCAGATGAAGCAACTTTTCGCTGCGGGTATCAAATTTCACTATTTGTATTTCAACTGCACTCAGAATTAATCCACGTACCGTCTTCCAAAAGCAAACGCACTGTTAGCCATTATTACCTATCAAAAACCTAGGCTTCAACATTATTTTTCATCACCAGTCGCAGTGCATTGTCACCTTAAAAGAGGACAATGTAGAAAGAAAAAAACCCTGCAATCTGGATGGCAAGCAGCCAACCGCGGACGATAGCTGGAGTGCGCTGCGGTTCGGCTGCAGTTACCTATGGGCAACACAGGTGGGGCGGCGATGGAAGATGAAAAATTCTTACTTTTGCATTTGGTCGAATAACACACCCGATTTGATACGCCCGACGCAAATTTTGCACCACTCACGTAAACTGCAGATCCCGACACCGAAGGTACGCAAATTAAACGCAATTAGATGATTCCTAATTGCGAAAATATGGATTTTTGTCTCGTCAGAGATAATTTTCACTGTCGTTCTTTTTCTTTACTTTTTTCCCCTTTCGGTTATGTGGGCACGTAAGAGAAAAACGTCAAACTGACAACTCGGTGATGCACTTTTTAGTACCAAAAGTGCACTCAATGCAGCCAGATAGGGTGATTTGAGGCACTTGGGGGAATGGTTTACTTATGCCGAAATGATTCATGATATTTTTTTTGGTTTGAGTTGATCCTCGAGTGGATCTAAATATACCGTATTAACAATAAAGTTTATTCTTTTGTATTTCCGGAGACACAGTTTTCGGCCAAAAGGCTCGCTTTTGCGTCAGAAAAGGTAGCTAATGTGTTCTATAAACATTAAGAGGGATGCTTCAAAGTAACAACAGAGATTTAAAACAAAACGCAATGTGGGCGGAAGCGGAATGTAATTGGAAAGTTTGAACCTCGAACACGTCGTTAAGCTCTTAAGGTTATTTTTATTGCGGTAACCGAAGTCGATTTGGTTCTAGACCCTCTCTAGTTCTAACTAGTTTTCAATTCAACAAATGGGCTTACTTATAACGAATTCGTTTATTATTCAGTTTCAACCTGGATCGGGTATCAATATTATGTCTGCTTGTTTTCTGACAAACGTCAGTTTGCTCGTTTGTTTTTAAAACCTAGCTCAGGTTGAGGTTCACACTGTATCATATCCACCATTTTGAGAAAATCGAAGTTGAAGTTCGACAGATTATTATTGTAACTGTTGAAAAACAATACATTTTGCAATACTATTTTTAATGTAGTCAGTGATTAATAACGTTGAAAATTCATGAGAAACGGTAAAACCACAATTTTACTTTGAATTTCATGCTACAACATAGAAAAACCCGAGGAAAAAACCACATAGGACGTTTTGAAAAGTCGAGTTGTACATCGGATATGTTACATTGGACGATTTTTCTCAATGACATAATCAATGAGTGTTACATTGGACGTTTTGTCTACATGATACTAGATTCCCTTTCACAGATTTCAGAGTACACTGAAGTCTTTTTTTACACGGTTTTTTTACGCGGTTTTTTTTACACGGTTATTTTTGGTGTAAATACAGAAATTTTTAAAATATGTCTGTATGGACCATATCATGCTTTAATTACAAATGGTACCAAAATCCGATTTTTTAAAAACATTTAAGCATGCGAAAAATCAAAATCTCGTAGGTTTTTTTTTTTTAAAACGGTTTTTTTTTACACGGTACGTATCCCCCGTGTAAAAAAAGACCTGAGTGTATAGTACGCAACTTTAGATTGGCCCCGTCTTTAGAAAATGAGCACCAATCATATTAGGCAGTCCAAATGACCAAAGTAACAATCATGTACCCATCATTTCAAACTGTACACTGGACAATTTTTGATCAACGATTATCTTAAATAAATGAAAGTAAATTTGGATGGATGTTTTTGTATCATATACAATGATAGAAGAGCAATAGTTTGTATCGCTTAACTCGATTTGTTTACATTTGTTACTTAGGACCTTTTGAAATGTAACACGAGAATTCGCTATCCAGCTTTCCACGCTTGGTAATGGCGTCCAGTATGGTATCAATAAATGTATCATTCACTGTGGTTTTGACATTAACTGGAGGTTCGCATTGTCACCCCTCTCTTTCCCACTCCCAGGAACAGAGGAAAATGGAACAACATGCGCCCTCCAGTTAGTGTCAAAAACCACAGTGAAGGATATATTTATTCATACCTACAGGACGCCATTGCCGAGTGTGGAAAGCTGGATTAGATCGATTATTCATAAAATGTATAAGTCAACTAATAAGCAGACGCCTTGCAAAAAGTTAATAAAGATCATGTGTCAAATGAAATGTATAAGCGGTCACACATACCTTTTATGCATTCTAATAGGACCTATGTGGTTTGTCTTATGGAATGTATAAGGCTGATGCTTTGGCAAAAATGTATAAGTAGAACAAATGAATTAAATAATTGACTTTCGTTTCGTGTAGATAGAGCTGGAGTTAGGGCGTAGCAGCCTTTGTAAACCATAACTTCTCTCGTTAATTTCTAGGAATTCAAGGTAGGTCTCGGCAGGCCCTTCCTCTTACTCGTTGGTTATGTCGATTTGCTGGGGACAGCCATGACTTTCGAGAAATCATCAAGAGAAGTGCACACAAAAAACAAAAATTGTTGCTATAAAAATAATGCAAATTCAAAATAAAAGTTTCCCAAATTTCGTAGTTTTAACAGTGAAAATTTTCAAAATGAAAGCTATATCTTTGGTTTGAAAGTTTATCTTCCACTTCTGACTTGTAATTTTAAAAGTGCATTTTTTAAAATAAAAGTTGTTCAACTGTCAAAAATACTTCTTCATAGTAACGTTTTTGGCAGCACTGAACCCTACATTATTTGCCGCCAAAGTAGACTTGACGAGACGAGAAAAAAATCGTTCCACGGAATTTCATTTTTTTTAATGAGTTAATTCGGTGTTCGGAAGCTGCCTCCGGTGATCGATTGTGATTCAGCCACTACAACAGGGCATGTAGGTGAGTTGGAAAATTCTTTTTCTTAGGATCGATTATATTTATGTTATCATTGTAGGTACGCTTATACTTAACAAACAAGCGCTTACATCGGATGGTTCCGGCCAACAAATCCCGTAACAGAGTGAAGCGTCTCGACCGAAAAATACTATCCTTACAACAAACCCTGTTACATGGCACCTAACCCATCATTCCGGAAAGTGACCACCAAACGTACGTGGGCGTAGAACATATGAACGTACAAGACAATGGTGTACAGGGAATTATCCACCAGCTCACTGTTTTGGTGTTGGTGAACCTCCAGCTGAAAGATGTCTTCAAGAATGCCGTTTCCATTGAGTAGTACTGGGATTGCGGCGTCAAGTGATCACTGTATTGTATTGTATGTCGTTGTCTTAAAGGATGGAAATACGAGGAATGCTTCGAAATGACCGTGGAGCTTAGGTTCGACTCAATACTTCGACCATTACAAGACGGACAAGAATCTGACTCAACTTATGCCACTTAGATGACAGTAGGATTAGCCTTCCTTTGATTCCTAATAGGGCTAGGACACAATCTGCACTGGAAACATAAAATATGTTGTATTTTCTTTGTTTTTTTATAAAATAAATGAATAAATTTATGTTTTAAATATGATACAAACATTAGTTTGGCTACTTTTCGTAATCTTGAAAATCATTAATATTGTTATGTTGTATCTGGGAACACTGGGTCGAGTAGAGCAGAATAAAATGTGGAAGGAAGAATGGTTTAATAAAGTAGTCCTCGATTCGTGAACATGTGTTTCATTGTGTATCCGAATATAACACTACATTTTGGCGACAAGGATGTTGGAAAAAGTGTCGAAATCGAATGGAATTAAGTATTCGTGGTTATCTTCGCGAAAATCCGGTTGAATGGGAGTAGCCCGGTAAGCGAAAAAGTGGAAAATTAAGAAAAATCGCGGTGGCGTCGTGAGTGCTTTGTTCGTGGTAGAGGCGAAAGTAATGGTGGATCTCACGCACACATATAAATAGTGCTGGTAGTGAGCGAAATGAATCAAAATATTGCACATTTTGTGATCGGGGAAGTGTCGTCGGTAGGAAGAAGATGGAAGGCATGGAAGCGCTCGTTCGAACTTTATTTGGAGTGCAATCCTACGGCAACTGCAGCAAAGAAAAAAGCTCTACTTTTGCACCTGGCGGGTCTCGAGGTCCAAGAAGTGTACTATGATGACCCAAATCACGGCATTGCGCCTCCAGAGGGAAGTGATGTTTATAAACAAGCCGTTGCGCTGTTGGACCATCATTTCGAACCGATTGTTTGTATTCCGTACGAGAGGGCAATGTTCAGGAAAATGGCCCAAAAGAATAGTGAAAGTGTTACTGCATTCGCGAGGCGATTGAGACATCAAGCAAATTTGTGCGATTATGGTGACGCGTTGGATATGCGAATTACCGAACAAATTTTTGATGGAAGTTCCTCTAGTGGACTACGAGAAGCAATCTTGAAAAAGCGACTTGTCGATTTAGATAAAATTATCGAAGAAGGAAGAGTGCTTGAAACGATTGACTCAAACCAACAAGAGGCAGTTGGAGAAGACTCTGTAAGTGTGAACAAAGTGAGAAGTGCTACTAATCGTTGTTTTCGTTGCGGGTCTACGGGACATTACGCGAATGACAAAAGGTGTCCAGCCCGAAAGAAGACATGTGATAAGTGCGGGCTGATAGGCCATTTCAAGAAGTTGTGTAAAACGAAGAAGCCGGTAGAACAGAAGAAGAAAAAAGTACGTCAAGTGGAAGATTCTGAGGAAGAGGGGGCACAATCGGTTGGTGAAGAAGAAGGAAGCAAAAGTGAAAGCGAAGAAAGCGATATTTACCACATGTTTTCGACCACGGCGTGCGAGAAGAAAAAGTGTGGCTCTAAATGCAACGACAAATATAACACGAAAGTGAAGTGCTTAGTCGGTGGTGTTCCACTGCAGTGGACGATAGATTCTGGGGCATCGGTGAACTTGATTGCCGAAGATACCTGGAAACTGTTGAAGAAGAACGGATGTAAAGTGAGCTTTGAGACTAACGAAACGCGGAAGAAATTAGTAGCGTACGGAAATCACAAACTACAAGTAAAGGGTATGTTCAAAGCCGATATAAGCCACGGATCGTTGACGGTGCACAGTGAGATTTTCGTGATCAAGGGGCAAGGCACTAGCCTGCTGGGAAAGACATCATCGGTGGATCTTGGTGTGCTGAAAATTAATTGTGAAGTGTTGCAAGTTATGGAAGACAAAGTTGCGAATATTGGAAAGGCAAAGGATTTGTTAGTGACAATCAACATTGACCGGAATGTCTACCCGGTACAACAGCCGTGTCGACGACTACCAATACCGTTGCAGAAGACTGTTGACGGGGAAATCCAAAAGCTCCTCGAACAAGGCATCATTGAACCAGCTACAGGTAAGATCACTTGGGCTTCTCCTTTGGTTGTCACACCCAAAGACGGAGGGCGTCGGGTGCGTTTATGCGTGGATATGCGCA